ACACTGGCTGACATGCATTGTGACAGTCCTAACTCATGACAATCCTTCTGTCTCAGACTGTATTGCCTGTTGGGATTATAGTGTGATCCTTAATGCCCAGGTAAAACCTACCACTTTGGCACGTTTTCTGTGGCTAAGGTTCTCCGGCCAGGAGGATTTTTGTCCCTCACTGGGATGTGTGGAAGTGTATAGACAGGATGTTCACCACCACAGCTGGCTAGATGGCCTTTCAGACAATGTCCCCATATATCAATAGTGCTGAAGCTGAGAAGCTGCTTTGTAGCATATTAATCATTAATTCATTAGTTAGCCAATAGTTGTTCATTGAGAAGTGACTATGTACTGGGCGTTGCAGTACTGAGGCTGCAGTAGTGGATAAAAATGGATAAAAATTCTTACTCATTTATGCTCTTCATTCAAGGTAGGAGTAACAGGCAACAAAGAACCAAAATGCTGAGCATCCCAGGAGGTTTTACATGCCAAGGGAAAAAAGTAAAACTGGGAGGGAGGAATCAAATATCCATCAGGAAGCACAAGGTTTCACTTCCGTATTAAAGTGGAGCCACTTCTCGCTGTTTGCTTAGAGGGGTGCAGCGCTTGTGTAAGGGACAGTTTACTCTTTGTCACAATATCTGGTGCAAAATGGGAACTCGATCTAGTTTCTGCAAAGCCCATCTCCATCTCACTCTTTACCGTTTGTGGGGACCGCCTTCCGCCTATGCTCTTGCTCTATGGAGCTGGCTTTGGGAAATCTTTCCATCTTTCCTGTTCTGAAACTGCTCTTCACTCCTTCCTCCTCTTCCTTCCTTCCTTCCTTCCTTCCTTCCTTCCTTCCTTCCTTCCTTCCTTCCTTCCTTCCTTCCTTCCTTCCTTCCCTCCCTCCCTCTCCTCGTCTTCTTCTCCTTCTTCTTGACATGGAATACAGTATGACGTCTTAGAGACACACACACGTGTCTCTTGTACTGAGCCAATGCTTGAGTATCATTTGTATCACCAGATTTCTATGAAAAGTTACATCTCACAGTCTCACACACACCAAACTACCTCCCACATCCTGTTAGACCCTGTATCACTTTAGGTAAGACAAGGGACACTCAAGTGCAAGTTCCTGTCCCTAGGAAAGGAGTTGCGTGGGAGGTGGGGCAGTTTTTTTTTTTTTAACATTTTCTCCACTTTCTTAGTTTCAAATATTAATTTGTCTTGTACTAATTGCTGAACGACTGTGCTATTTTGCTTAATCATTTTGATCTGCCATTTTATCTACCCAAATTCTGTCTAATTCTAACTCAAGAAAATGTGCAACGTATTTCATATTCTCTGCAGGGAGGATATAGAAAATAATCACTGAATTAAACTCCTGCTGTTAAAAGTTATGTGTAATATTTTTGTTATCAAGCATCTTGCTTAGGTATCCTAAAATGTAGCCCCCTTTAAAAGAAAATGTCACCCCTCCCTATTAATCTTCCAAACCCAAGGCTTTGCTTGAGAATTTATGCTTTTCTCTTTTCCTTAAATCAAAAATCTTAATACCTACATTTTGCTTTTTTACCTTACCTCTCAAAATTTTATATAAGAAGAGTCAGGAGAGACAGTTTGCAATCAGTCCCTTTGATCTTGATCCAAATCTTCCTTTAATTACTGGCAGCAGTTACAGTCACAACCTGAAGAAAAGAGATGAAGCCCCAAGAAAGAGCTAGGGAAAATTGCCGATCCTCTTCATTTTAGAGGTTTTAGAACAGAAATCATCATTTATAAGCATATTTTGAAGAAATGGGTCAATGAATGACAATGCATAGTCAATTTTAAGAGACCACAGTGAAAGGTGGATTTCAGTCAAGGTCTCTTTTTCTCACAACACTTTTGTCTGTGTGGCATTCACCTTATAGTTTCATACAGGAAGAAAATGGATGTCAGATACTAGAACAGGAAGAAAGCGAGGGAGTGAGGGATAGGAGAAGGGGAAGAGAAGGGGAAAGAAAGAAAAGATTAATTTGTTTATATAATTTGTTTATATAATTTGTTTATATAATTTACTTCATCTAATCCCTCATAGCTCTCTGGAGTATATTTGTTTTAAGCAGAATCGAGTTTTACGTGGGAAGCTTTGCTTTTATTGCTCTGAAACTACATTTTACTAATATCCAGTTACACAGAAGTAAGTGTCCTGGCTGCAGGCAGTTTATAATCCACAAAGAAACTGAGAAGATCTCTGGCAAATGTAGACACATCACATGTTTACCCCTTGAGCACTGTGAAAATTGACTCCATTAGCATGATCATATGCACCTGTACTCCTGACAGAGCAGTGGTTTTCATTGATTTTCCCTTGACAAGAATGCAGAATCAGAATGTGATGATTTTGCTAGCAGTTTTTTTTTTTTTAATCCAGCAGTCATGTAACTTGTTGCATGGGTTTTGAAGTTATTTGAGCCAACCCGTGCACTTATGTGCAAATTCAGTGAGACATCATTGATCAGATTCTGTTTCCACTTGCAAAATCAGAGTGCTGATGTCCAGGTCTTTCTCTGAACTCCAAAGCGACTGTTGTAGTTGTGCTCATTGCTGCTGTTGGCATGAATCTTGATGGATCTTGGAGAGCAATGATGTACCTGCCTTGGCAGATGTTGACCCTTGGTGCCTGTTAGAATGATGTGTCCAGTACAGAATCAAAGAACTGGGTAGGAAAAGGGTGCTGCCATGATAGGGGGAATGCTGGAAGAAAAGAATTGAGAGTTTCCCTGAAAATACCGCTCACCACTGGTACTTACAGGTTCTACAGCTGTGGGACACAACCAACCATAGGTCAAACATGTTGCAAAAAAAAACTGCGTCGGTACTGCACACACAGATCTTTTCTTGTCATCAGTCTTGACACAACAGGGCCACTCAGCAGCTATTTATGCAGCACTTATGTTAGAGTCCGGTTTATGGGTCAGCCATAAATATTATGTTAGAGTCCGGTTTATGGGTCAGCCATTTATATTTTAACAGAGGTTAAAATATAAATTCTAAGCCATTTTACATAAGGACCTGAACCAGAGACTGCAACCAGCCTCTTCGGCATCCTAAAAAAGTCTGTACTTTGTAAAATCAGATAAAGGGGATGCTGAGAATTAATGGGAAGAAAGTTATTGGGGGACTGGAGACTCAGGAACATTTTTGTTCAACAATTCCTGATCAATGGTCATTATATATTTTTTCTTCCTAAAGAATTACCTTCAGAAGAGCTAACCTTCCGAGCACAAATCACAAAAGAGTAGAATGTGTTTTCTCTCCCTTAATCCATTCTTTAATGTAAGACATTAAAAACAAAAGTTGTTTCACTCACATCTGATTAACTCAGGAGAGTCATAATCCATCCAAACTAACCTAAATGAAGAGAAGGGAATAATCAGGCCCTCATTATGCAAAATAGTGTCAGTTAATTTATCACACAGAACTGGATAATAACCTGTTAGCTCCCACATTACTTTTATTGCTGCCGAAGCTTATTTCACATTGCATAAAATCTGGACATATTACAATAGAGTCCACATTACTCTATTAGAAGAGACAGCTTCAAGTACTTCTCTTATGGAATCTCTCCATTTGGAAAATGTTAAGGAAGGGAAAAAGTGCAAGCAAGGTAAAGGCCAGGGGATTTGTGGCATCGCCTGATGGGCCAGCTCTGTTGAGGCTGACTCCCAGCTGCCATGCATAGGACCATGGAGAAAATCAACATTTCTAGTGGGAAGAAAATCCAAAGAGAGTTTATGTTCTTCCTCAGGGAAGTGTTGACATTTTAATTACTTTCTGTTTGCTTTGGAGCTACATTTGAGAATTGGAAGCAAGTTAGAAAAAAAATAGAATTTGCTTTATTAGAAATAAGACAAATTGACATGCAGGCAGGAGCTGGCAAGGACCCAGACTTAGCTCGCCACAAACTGGAGTCGGCAGCAGGACTCAGGAGCTCCAAACTAGTTCAGCTACTGAGAAGCCAAGCAAACAGTTCCTTCTGGGCTGAGCCTTGTCGCTTCCTAGAGAGGCCTGTGCTTCTGCACTATCTAATCTTTTCTGCCAATGCTTTACTTAACATGGCTGTTTCCCCTTTAAACTTAAACAGAGGTTTGTGAAGCAGAACACGTTGAGGAGCAAAGAAGAAAAACAGGAGAGAGAGAGAGAGAGAATGGTTGGGGAAGTTGGAGTGATTGATGGGTGGGCATAGAATTATTTAGATTTGCAGATAATTTGATAGTCTTGATATTGCAGAAGGAGGAGGAAGAGAAGAAGAAAAGCAAAAAAACCTGGGATTGAAGATGTGGCCGGAGTCATTGGTTCTAAGAGATATGTTTTTTTTTTTTTTAAGTAATATTTTTTTTTGTATTTTATTTTTTTCTTATCAGTTACATTTTATTAACTCTGTATCCCAGCCGTGTCCTGATCCCTCATTCTCTTGTTTACACTTTTCTCTCTGCACCTGGAGCTGCCTGGGATTGAATACCTACTTAACAAAACCAGGGAGCCTACACATACATCCCGGGATGAGCAAATCTTAAAATAGTAATGTGGCACAAGAGCCAGATGAAAAGAATTCTCTCTAACTAGCATTGCAGTGGTGCCTGTACATGGTGCCTCTTGAAGACATAGGCTATCATCTTCCCATGCCTTGGCCTCCACAGTCTTGTTAACCAGCAAGGAATGTACAGAAACACCAGGCTCAGACCAGTTTGTTCAGTGGTAAGTAGCTCAAACTGGTCCCTGAACACTATCTCATGATGAGCTGGAGAGATGGCTCAGCCGTTAAAGAGCACTGGCTTCTCTCCTAGACAAACCGGATTTGATTCCCAGCATTGACATGGTACCTCCCAAATGACAGTAACTCCAGTTTCAGGGTATCCAGTGCCCTTTGTGGCCTCTGTGGCACCAGGTATGTACATGGTACACAGTTATAATGCAGGCAAAGCATCTATATGTTTATTTAAATAAATAAGTAAATATATGTATTTTAAATGAATCATTAAGTGCCTGCTTCGGCAGCACATACACTAAAATTGGAATGACACAGAGAAGATTAGCATGGCCTCTGTATAAGAATGACGTGCAAATCCGCGAAGCATTCCTTATTTTTAAAATACACAAAAAGTTAAAGTAAATAAAAATACCTAATATTTACTCTGTGCCTGATACATTAAATACTCTCTTGAAATGTTCCCCCAAACCTGTAAGTTGATTTTATCTCTACTGTAGATACTGCTATTTCTGTTTTACAAATGAGAATACAGAGGCTTGGGAGGGTTTAGTAAATACTCAAGTTGTATCAGCTTTTGTTATAAACATTTCAAATGAATCTGAAAGAAAATAAAAAGTGTAATGAGCCATTTAAGTTACATTCCTTATTCAGGGCCAGTCTTGTCCATCAAAACTTGCTCCTCCCCATCAGTTAGAAGCAAACACAAGTATTATTTTATTTCATAACTTTCTCTTCATCTCTTGACACCATGATTCTTTAAAATAACATAACCACCAAATTTTTACCAAACCTAACAAACATCACCAGTAATTTCCTGTATTGAAAACCGGTCATCCAGTTGGCCAACATTCCCATGTGCCTTATGACTTGCTATTTAAAAAAGCTGTGTTTGCCCATCAGAATGATCAAGATGAAAAACTCAAGTGACAACACATGATGGAGAGGTTGTGGAGAAAGGGGAACCCTCCTCCACTGCTGGTGGGAATGTAAACTGGTACAACCAATCTGGAAATCTATCTGGCGCTTTCTAAGACAATTAGGAATAGTGCTTCCTCAAGACCCAGCTATACCACTGTTAGGTATATACCCAAAGTTTGCTCAAGTACACAAAAGGGATATTTGCTCAACCATGTTTATAGCAGCTTTATTTGTAATAACCAGAACCTGGAAACAACCCAGATGTCCATCAACGGAGGAATGCGTACAGAAATTATGGTATTTTTACACAATGGAATACTACTCAGCAATCAAAAAGGAGGAAATCATGAAATTTGCAGGCAAATGGTGGGATCTAGAAAAGATCATCCTGAGTGAAATATCCCAGAAGGAGAAAGACAAACACGGTATATACTCACTTATATAGACCTATAAGATATGATAAACATAATGAAATCTATACACCTAAAAAAGATAATCAAGAGAGCAGACATGGGGTAAGATTATCAATCCTCGTTTTGAAAGACAGATGGGATGCGCATTGAACATTGACAGGAATCTACTGAGCGCATTTGAAAGACTCTAACTAGTAGTGTTTTCAAAGCAAAGACTCATGACCAAACCTTTGGCAGAGTACAGGGAATCATAAGAAAGAAGGGGAGTTAGTCTGATGAGGAAAGGATAGGAGCTCCACAAGGACCAAATATATCTGGGCACAGGGTCTTTTCTGAGACTGACATGCAACCAAGGACCATGTATGAATGTAACCTAAAACCTCTGCTCAGATGTAGCCTGTGGTAGCTCAGTAACCAATTGGCTTCCCATAGTGAGGGGAACAAGGACTATTTCTAACAGGAACTCAATGACTGGCTCTTTGGCCTCCCCACCCCCCAAGGGAGGAGCAGTCCTGTTAGGCCACAGAGGAGAGCTTTGCAGCCAGTCCTGAAGATACCTGATAAAACAGGATCAGATGAATGGGGAGGAGGTCCCCCCTATCAGTGGACTTGGCAAGGGGCACGGTGGAGATGAGGGAGGGAGGGAGGGCCTGGGAGGGAATGAGGGATCGGGACACGGCTGGGATACAGAGTTAATAAAATGTAACTGATAAGAAAAAAATAAAATTCAAAAAAATAAAAATAAAAAAAAAAGCTGTGTTTGATTCCTTGATGTGTGTCTAGGGTTTCCTCCATTTGTATGCTTCTTCTTCATTGTTGATGCCTTCTTAAAATCTTCGGTTGAAGAAATGAGATGATTTTTTTCCCCCTGAATGCTTTCTAATAATCTGTATATTTTTTTTTTAAAAAAAACCAAAACATTCCCTGAGCGTTTCAGGCATTTTCATCATCTTGTCCTTTGTAGTTTTTGTAAATTCAGTTAGAGCTGGCACTTAAAAAAAAAAAAAGATTCTACTTTCCTGCTTTTGGCAACACTAACTCCCCGTATGTAAAGTAGTAACATTTCCATAAGTAGGGGTGCTTGTGTGTGTGTGTGTGTGTGTGTGTGTGTGTGTGTGTATGAAGAATCCAACTATTAAAGATTTTTGCCTGGCTCTGTTAATTCATAAATTATTTCGAAGTGATGATATACTGATTTTGTAATTTATTTATTTATTTTTTTTACAAGCATGCTATTTTTAGGTCAGCTTTAGGCTAATAGCAAAACTCAATAAAAATTAGCTGACATTCTGATAGATGCTCCATGCCTAACCTCAGCCAATGTTTTTCCTCACCATAGACGTTCATCCCTAAAGCAGTGTATTTGTTTGTCACACTGGTGACCTTCTGTTGCCACATAATTATCACCATATGTGTGTCATTTCATCAGGCTCAGTCTTAGACGTATGAACTCTGTGGGTCTTGACAAAGGCAAAATGGTATAGAACAACCAATGATTTCTTTTATCATTTATTGGCAGGGATAGTTCAGGAAAGAGATACCTTGTCCACTCCTTACTTCCCAGTTGTCTGAAGTAAAAGGAAGAACAAGCTGGCCATCACCAGGATTTATTATTTATTCTGGTACACCGGCTGGCTAAGGGTAGAAGGGCATTCAACCCTTGGAAAATAAGTGGCATGGTCAGACATCTGTTTGACCCTTATTGGGTTTTCTGTCAAGAACAGGTATGAAAGAAATGAAGATACGATGTGAGCAAAGAGCAGAACTTTGTCTGTAAGAAAAGCTTATAGTCCCCACAAAAGCGGTCTGCAGTTGAAGTGAATGGTGAGGCCTCCATGAGCCCACCGCTCTAACACTGTCCACAGCAGAGCCTTACCAGTATGCAGAGAAGAATTCTTTCCCCTACACGGATAAAAGAAGGAATAAAAGGGGAAGCATTTCTGAATCGCTCCCTCCAAGCACGGAAATGATTTTAATTACCAATTCATCTGTTGGCAGACTCTTCTGGCACATGTACCTGCAACTTGGAAAGATAACAAATGAGCCGACTCCTTACTCCAGGGTTCACACTGATAGTGCTTGCTAAATTTCCTCTCAGAAAAGGATCCCAGGCAACAATACATCTGGCGCTCTGCACGAGGAATTTGTCATGTCTTTGACATGTTCAGCCTCCATTGTCCACACCACCCCGACAGCAGGTCCTTTATATTTCAATGAAATTGCAGTCTGAATTAATATAATTAGAATGTAACTGCTTTTCACTGCACAAACTCCTTATTTCCAGGAGTACAGATCTGATAACATGTCTGCTCAGGATCTTCCCGGTGATGGCTGCTGGGCCAGCAGATAATGAAAGGATGGAGCGTACACCGGTTAACCAGTCCTTTAAAATATTAATGGAAATAAGAGAGAAAGAGGAAACCTCCTCATCCTTGTCAGGTATAAATAGAAATATCTTTCAGACTTAACTAGCTGGTATTGCACTTATATAAAATACAGAGTGTAGCCTGTCTGAACCAAGAGACAGAAACAAAGTAGAAAAGATTACATATCTTCCAATGACAGTTATATGACATAAAATGGACAATTCATGGATAGAATCCTGGAATTAAGAGGTGGATGGATGACTTCATTTTCTTTCCTATTTTATTTTGGACAGCTGATATCACTGACCAAGCTGTCTCTATCAAGTAAAATAATAAATTTCATGCTAGATTCTTGGGGTTTAGTCTTTATTTTATGTCCCTACAAATTTCTTGAATATTGATAAAGTGGCAAAATGACATCAGCGGCTTCTTATAAAATATTGACTCACCTCCTCTCAAATGCATTGACTTTCTCCCTCCCAGTGATCCATCTGATAGAAAAGATGACCTAGGATTGCTCTGTAGGGAGATATTCCTGGCCTCTTCTGTGAGAATTGTGCAGTTGCAGACTGAACACTCATGTCTGTCCCTCTCCATTAACATTTTGCAGTCCTAGCCCCACTGTGATATTTTGAAACTTGGAATTAATGAGATATAGGTCAGCTCATGTGGGTACACTTTCACATGATGAGATGGGACTGGTATATTTACAAGAAGAAAAGCAATACTCTCCACCAATGTGAAGATCCCTCTATTGTCTTCTCCTCTTTTCTTCTCCTTCCCCCTTACCTCATCACTCCCTCTCCACTTTCACCTTGTGAGTACACAATGAGAAGGAAGTTGTCTTCCATTGAGGAAAATTCTTACTGAGGAACTGAATTGGTTGGCACCTTAATAAAGGATTGTCTAGCTTCAAACACAATAGAAAATAAATGTCTGCTGTAAAGCAATCCAGTCATAACATTTTGTTCTTGGGGGAGGTGGATGGTGCAGCTCTGCCAGTGTAGGCTAGACTTTAGGTACAGTGTGAGTTTAGTCTTCAATGTGACAGTACTGAGGTGGTGAGTGCTTTAAGAGATACGGCCCAAGGGCTGGCTCATTTGTTTGGCGAGGGCATTGCAAAATGAACACTGATTTATAGACTGAGTTACAAGAGTAGGTTTTAACGAAATGAGCAAGCCTGGCCTCCAAGACGGCCAGGTTGTTTCCAGTTTCAGGATACTGAGAATAAAGCTGCTACAAACACAGCTGAACAAGTGTCCTCATGGAAGGAAGGAGAGTTGTTTGGTCAGATATCCAAGAGTGCTATAACTAGGTCTTGAGGTAGACTGATTCCTAATCTTCTAAGGAACCACCATAATGATTGCCATAGTGGCTGTACAAGTTTTCACTTTCACCAGCAATGGAGGAGGGTTCCTCTTGCTCCACATTCCAGCAGCATTAGCTGTCACTTGTGCTATTGATCTCAGACATTCTGACCATGGGAAGACAGAATCTCAAAGTAATCAGAGGGGATGGAAGATACCCAGAAGAACATGGCCCACCAAATCAACTAAGCAGGGCTCTCATGGCCTCACAGACACTGAGGTAGCAAGCAAAGGGCATGCATGAGTCTGCACAAGGTTGATTACCATGTTATCTTTTCCAGGTACCATCTGCCACGTGACACTGTCTTCAGGAG